GTAGCGGTAGCAGTAGCAACAGCAGCAGCAGCAGCAGCAGTAGCAGTAGAAGTAGCAGTAGCAGGAGCAGGTAGGAGTAGGAGTAGGAATAGGAGTAGGAGTGGGAGGAGTAGTAGTAGTCGTCGTCGTCGTAGTCGTAGTCGCAGTCGTAGTAGTAGTAGTAGTAGTAGTAGTAGCAGCAGGAGTAGTAGTAGGAGTAGTAGTAGTAGTAGTAGTAGTAGTAATAGTAGCAGCCACAGTAGGAGAAGAAGCAGCAGTCGCAGTAGCGGTAGTGGTGGTGGTACCAGTGGCATTGGTCACCCGGCTGTAGCAGAGATGCATTGTCAACACGACACTCAGCGAAGGTACGCAGATACAGCTACTACATGGCGGCTGCTGCCCACGTTCATACCGTTGCACACAAGCGATCTTAGATATGATTGAATGCCTTCCTGCAAAAAGGCTGGATGCATACCTCTGCAGCTCCGGGTTGTGGTTGCCAGATCAAATCTTAGATGCCATGGCTCAGAGAGGTCGCTCGCCTTGGCCGTCAGCCTTACCAGGCCTCCTTCAGCACCGGCCGCCCGGGAGGCGATCTCCGGGCTCGGAGTCCAGCTGCTAAACGTTGGCAGGTAGACCTGAGCACAGAAGGGTGACGAGACAAGAAGCGAAAAGACATATGGTTATACAATGACGCTCCAGCAGTCGCTCGGTCTTCATCGAGACCTGCGGGTAAGTGGGGTTGGGGCGACGCCAGACCGCCACTCAAGGTAGCGTCTGCAGCTTTTCACTGACTCACGTGACTGGCTTTGCAGCTCAGTCTGAGGTGCTTTCCGTCGCTAGCTGGAAGAACTACAGTCTAAGCACCTTGCCACATCTCCCTGTTGCAGATTGTGCTGCTGCAACAGCCGGAGGGCTTCTGGAGTCAGACCACCTCGCTTCACAGCTGGGGAATGTCCGCCATTCTCAAACGACACAATGTAGTCACGATCTGCTGACGAGGAGCAGTAAAGGGTTTGTGGCTGCTGCGTCAAGCACTTCTCCAACGCGCTGTTGAGGTAGCAGAGGCAGGTGGCCATGTCTTTGTCAATGCTGTTTGGATGATGCCGCACTGTCCGCGACAGTCTTGAAGAAAAGTTCATGTCCCAGGATAGGCCTGAACCTTTCTTCCGTACTTCAAGGGCATACGCCACCAGCGCAAACAGCTCACCGTTCGTCATCCCGCGCTTGTCCTGCCAATGCTCCAAACTTTCACGGAAGCATAAAGATAGGAGCGATACCAAATAGTGGCAGGCGGGTAGCACGTGTTGAATTTTCACTTATAGCAAGACGGGGTGCCAACGTAAACGGAACATAAACGAATGTTGCGCCGGTGTGCCTTGATGTCCATGGCTACACGGCGGCAGTCCTCAGCTGGAAACCGAAGGTTTACCAAACTTGCCGCGGATCCAAGAGAATAAACAAAAGGAAGCTACAGATCAAATGGTCCAAGCATCTTTACTCATGGACTTGGCCAGTCTGTCCTTGAGCTTCTCCGGAAGCCACTGCTGCACAGTCTGCTCGAAGCTGGCTGAACACTTGCCATCTGGGTCGGACCAATCTGGGAGCACCCTATATCTAAAGGCCCCAACGTCTTCTGCCGGAAGCAGAAAACGATCGAGGTGCTCCCGATCATCAATGACCTGCCACTCGGAAATCACACTGGGAAGGCTCGGAGCACAGCTGCCTGCTTCGTCGGCATCTCTCTGAAGGTCCAACTTTGAGGAGGCTGAGGTCATGTCGAAGACCTCCGCCCTGAACCCAGGCGCTTGATCAGCTACTGTGCCTTCAGGACGAATCGATTCTGCGTCGTACCGGCCGGGGTGATGCTCCTCAGATGGATGCTGAGGAGGACCACTTCCCTCGTGTTGTGCAGGGAGCGCGTCAATGCCCTCGATCGTTGGCGATCGGCAGCTCTCGTTCAGAGGGGCACTTGCCCCTTGTACTTGTACCTGCGCTCGGGCCTCATCTGCCTCGTCACCGGGAGTGGCCTGACCCGCAATGGAAGCAGGGGTCACTCCAAAACAGCCTAACTAACTATCTCGCAGCTGTCGTAATTGTCCACCGAATGCTTGTTGCTTGTTTCCAACTTCCTGGTGAACCACTTCCTGCCCCTAGCAGGCCTCTTCAAAAGCTGGTAGGATGTCGGAGTCCTCCTCACACTCTCTGGCGCAAGCTTTGTGAGCCTGGACCCGTCGCCGCGATGAGCGGCGCCAGGAGCTCTGGATCAGCAAGGCAGCAGTGTTGAGACGCGAGTCTGGCTGAGAGTCGCCTGGGGCAACGGATTGCAGCGAAACAATACAATCCTGATGTGTGTAAATATATATATATATATGTATGTATGTATGTATGTATGTATGTATGTATGTATGTATGTAGGTGTGTGTGTGTGTATATATGTATATGATTTATCTATCAACATCATACCAATACCACACGTCCGCATGATCTCTACAAGTACCGCGCCCGTGTGAGAGATTAGAAAGCATGCGCTCATGCACAGGTCGTCGTATAGACATACACATACAAGTGTGCTCATGCTTACCATGCAGTGTTTGCGATGTACTCCTACGTACATTATGTATATATGCGCAAGTGCATATAGTACCTAGAGACTTGCGTTAGTACGTGTATATATATATATACATATATGCATACACACATAGATACATACATCCACTTTTGGATCTCCCACGCCGGCCTGGTTCATGGGTTGAAAGCACCCGGAAATATCGACCTCGATGCTTTAAGATAACGGTTTCGCCGTGCAAGCTCGCCGCTTCGGCCTCCCTGGGAACTTGCAGGATCGCCGGCATCTCCTGTACACTTTCTGGGGTTGTATCGCACATAATGTATTGTAGTAGACATTTGGATGGACAGATAGACAGACAGATAGAGAGAAAGATAGATACACCTACATCCTACCTACTGCCTGCTCACCCCTAGGATGCTTTGGCAAAACAGCTTGCTTTCCACAGGCCATCCTCTCCAAGGGCTGCCTTGACCGCATGCTCCAGCTCTGTGCTGCAGACCTTTCCCAAGCTCTCCATGAAGCGCTGCCAAACTCTCTGCAGCACGCACTCGCCTCGCATCTGAGTCGGTTGAGTTCAATCCCGCGCCATAGACTACTCTTCACCAAGACACCCGAGCAGCCCAGCCGTTCGGCGGTGACCTTCCACAGCTCTTTGCTGACTGCTTCGGGGTCGATGGACTCCTCAATAGTCAACAAGCGCACATGGCTCGAAACCATCATCAGGCATGGGGGTTCTTTCTGCGCCAGCTTACTAAAGCTCAACGCGGTCTGAGCATCGTCTTCTGAGCTGTAACATAGACTACATGATGGCTCTTAGGGATCGCTCTGAGAAGCGCATCGTACTCCAGTGAACACTTGCACGCATGTCAAATGTCAAGATACGGGCTCCGCTTTGGCAAAAGGCACTCCAGTCCTCCCAGTTGAACAAGGACTCCAATGGGACGAGTTTGACGGCCGACAGCGATCTCTGCCAAGACGTGCTTGTGTCACGGTCACCGGCTGCAACCTGAGCCTCGTACCTCAGCTTGGGGAGGCTGGGATCTGGGTCGAAGGAGCCGGTATTGAAGAACGTCACAAGGACATGCAACCCGGTCGCAAATCTAGGAATCTGTTCAAGCATTCCTCCTGCTTGGCATCACCTCAGATGGCGGGTGCGTAGATGTCACTACCAAGCATGAAAGCAGATCTGTCGATATCCCATGCTTCATGACTGACTACTAACAAGACGAGCCGCTGCCCTGAATGTTTCTTCCTTCTTGAATCGAATCCACATGGAATCCGCACCTCTTCAAAACCTGGCTGATCGAAGTGTTGGCGATGAAGCGCTTCACGTGGTCAGGGACATCAAGACTTGCTTGACATGCCCACCACATGAATCCGCTCACATCGACATCGACACTCGTGAGAATGAGCGGTAGCGTCGATGCATCTGATGGGGCGTGGTCTGGTCGGGCATCCCACCAAGCCTCCTTCTCCTCCATGTCCTGCCGAGATGCCTCTGTCTTCGCTTGCTCCATCTGCTCCATCACCCGACCAGGCAGGGGCTTCAAACCCTCTCTTGGGTTCCACACGGTACCTCGATCAAGCTCTGCTTTTCTGGCACGCACCTCTCGAAGCATGAAGCGAAGTGCCTGGAGCACCGCAACCAGGTGTCGACCATGAATTTGGTCTGGAAGCCCATGGAGAGGATTGCTAGAAGGCATGTCAGACAGCTGGACCTGGGCGTACAACGTGCGGAGAGGCGTGGTTTCTTGACTGATCACGTGGTTCACGAAGCCCTCCTCCTCCAAGTCCGTGATCGTATCTCGAAGAACTTCATCTCTCTTTGCTAGCTCTGCGGTGCTCTGCAGTGATCCTGGACGTGCCCATCCCCTGCAGAGGGTTGTCTGCAAGTCGATCGGGGACGGCTCCTTCAGAACCGAAGAAAAGCCGCTGAACTCGCCGTTCTCTTCTTTGAGAAGCTGCAAGACCTGCGGAAGCGCAGCGATCGGAATCCCGTCCAGGATGTCCAGCGCAGCCGGCAGGTGTGAGACCTGTGCGAGAACCTCATCCAGCTCTAGGACTGAACCGGCCTCCGGCGCGCTTGAAGCACCTGAGTTCCAGCACGCTCACTCCCACCAAGCTCACATGCAAGTTCGAAAATTCGAAACTCAGGCATGACAATCATGAGCTGTTTAGGTTTAGGGCAGGGAGCTGAGCTGCGAAAGTATTCGAGAAACGGCTTCCCTGCAGTTCTGGAGCTCAATGACTTGCATGCGAGCCAGCTTGTCCAAGACCTCCTCTTTCTTGGCAACGTCGAGAACTTGACAGCTCCCTGGTGCTTCTGGCTTCGCTTGCTTCGTCTTGAACTCTGGTAGTTGTGGGAAGTCGAGCTTCTGAATGCGATGGATCCAGGAAGCACTGAGGATCTCCAACTGGGTCGCTTGCCAATCAATCCTGGCAGAATTGCATGTGGCAGAGACAGAACAATGAAAGACAGAACATGGAAATCGAAGCTCAGTTTCCGGGTCCAAGGTCCTTGGCGCCAAGACCCCTGCACCGCGAAGGTTGCGCCGCACGGCACGTTCCACAGCTTGGCTGGTGAGGGCGTCCACCAGTTGCTCCTGGAAGCGGCCAGCGTCACAAACTGAAGACATGCAAAGACTCAGATGTCGACAACCATGTGGCCCCAAGGGTTTCAAACTGAAACCAACGGCCACGCTGCTTAATCATGTCCAACCTCAACATGGCTGTGTCTTCTGAACCGGTCCTGGAAAAAGAGGTCGGCCAACCACACCGGTGCGGCTCTGCCCATCTGGTCGGCCCAGTTGATAGCATGTCCCTTCTGCATGTGGCTCAGGGCCTTGATGGCAGCATCGACCACCTCATTCCAGATCCGGCACAGGTACTCCGCCACCAGTTGTGGCTGGCACTTGGCATCTACGTCGCTGAGGAAGAACCTCAATGGCAACTCCTTCCCATCGCCCTGGATGGGCGCCAGCCGTGTTTGCTCGGCCTCTAAGCCTATAGCTGCACGTCCTGCCTGACATTCGATAGGAATCTGACCATGGTTGTCCTCATGAAACTTCTTCCAGCCCTGCACGAAGCACTCGAAAGACTGGCGGATGACTTGACAGTGCCGGGCGTTGCTGCGGGAGTCCATTCTGTCGTCCGTTTGTTGACGCAGTTGCAGCAACTCGATCAAAGGTTGATCCTGAGTTGGAAACACAATACGCAGCTAGACGGCATCCTCCGAGGGCTTTTCCCTTGTGCAAAACTTGAGGGCCTGGATATGATCTGTGCATGAAGCCATGCTCAGGAATAGTCAAACCCTAAAGGTTGAAGGCCGACGAAGTGACTCATATTGGCAAGAGGAAAGGAGAGACACAGGCGTTTACAACACATGCCGTGCCGATGCTTGTCTCTCAAGTCTTGCAACGACTGAGCCGGAGTCCAAGCACTTGGTGGGCACAACGCCATTCAGGCGGTCGAAGATCCAGTTCTGGATTTGAACGAAGTGGCCGAGCAAAGGCAGATGAGCAAGCTCTTCCCGACGGTTCACGATGGCAGCCACGAACGCGAATTCCGGCTCCCAGGGCAATGCCAAAGCACAGGCTTGGAAGGAGTGGAAGAACTTGTGCATGTAGCTTAGGGATGTGCGGAAGTCCTGTAACCGCACCAACTGACCTTGTGCCTTTGAGACCCTGAGCGCTTCACGCCTCAGATCTGGAAGTGCCACGACAACCTCGTCGATCATGGTTCGCCAGATGTCCTCGTAGGCTTGTCGAGCTTCGGGAGAAGCAAAGATGCGGCTGAACTCCGGTGGCCCTGCGACTGCTCTCGTGCGGAAGTCGTGGAAGAGGCGCGCAAACGCCAAAGAGCGGTCCTCTTCTGTCAGCTCCTGCCGCGAGCACACACACTCGAAGCAGCGCATGGCATAGTTCATGGCGAAGCTTCGGGCCATGTCTGCACGCGAGTTGTCTCCCCTGACTCGAGGGTCCACCTCTTGAACGTAACGGTTGGTCAGAACGTCATGGATGCTGTGGCAGCTTTCGGGGAAAACAGCCAGACCGACGGAAAGCATGGCCCAGCTGCAGAAGTTCACCCAATGCAGGTGGTCGTTCCGCAACGGAGGTCGATTTCGGATGGCATGCCCATGGTCATCAAGCACACATCCGCAGTCGAAGTGGTAGCCCTCTGGACCCGGGCAGAGGCCGTAAACAAACCCGACGGGATAGCTGTTCAACATCGCCCGCGGATCGAGCAAGAGCATCATCAAATGGTTGTTGTCAGGTGTGCCCACCACGGCCACCAGCAAATTCACAACCGCATGCTTCAGCCGCTGTGCCCGATTCGCACCACCCCCTGCCGCTGCCATGTCCCAGTCGTCCCGTCCTTCCCAAACTTCCAACACAGGCACTCTAATCACTCCTCTCAAGTCTCAAACACGAGACGTTGAATGCCTTGGGAGCCCTAGCCCTAGCTGTCCTAACAGCACCGCGGCCACAAGACTACGTGAAGTCTGCAACGGAGTGGTGTCGCACAGCATGGCAACGATTGTGGCCTCGGTCGGCTGAGAGCAGCCAAACACGGCAAGTTCTGGCCATGGAATCACGAGTTCTTGAATGCCTGCCAGGCTGCCAGCCTCCTGTCCTCCAGGCCCAAAGATGCACGGAGCGGGCCCGAGTTCTCTGACAGCAAGGCCTGTGCCACAGCCGGCTGTGTCTGGTCCCGCTTCAGGAAGGCACAGGCACAGGCGTTGGCGAAGGCATAGCGACGGTCTTCCTGGGAGAGGCCTTCCAAGGCAGTCTCTGCACCCTGCGCCGCCTGGGGCCGCAACATGCAACCGGCTTCTAAAATTAAAAACATATCCCTACCAACTTACATAGCAACATAGTATAAGTGTATGTAATTATATATATATGTATATATATATATATAGCAGGCCTGGTCTGAGGAGAAGTCCTGATCTCGGAGCAGCCACTCTGAGATTGCCGAGTAACCAGGGGGCTGCCTCACCTCCGCAAGATTTGGCTGAAAAGGGCGAGCCTGGTTCCAGTGAAACTCGAGGCCACAGCCATGGCCATGAGTAAGATGCTGGTGCGCATGGGCTCCACAGGTCATCTGCTCGCATCCCGCGTTCTTCTCAATCGGATTACCACATCGTGGGCAGCATCTCACATTGGCGCCCCGCGCAAAAGATTGAGTAGCTCGCTCCTCGTGCTGCTGAACTCGCTGCCGCCGAGCTTGTTCTCCTTCAAAGCCTGGGCCCAGCGAAGGCTCAAAGGCATGTGCAACCACGCTTCTAGCCGAGTAGCCCGACTTCAAGCTGGGAGCATGTGTAACAGCATTGCACTGCACTCTTCCCCTACTACTCCGAATCACCAAGCCCCCAGCCAGGCATGCCGGCTACCGGCAGATCTGCCCATGGATCCTCCCCGGGTCCTCCGCTTTGCAAGCTCTTTCAAAAAGGCTGCCTACCAGTGCTCGCTACATTGTGCATGCTAGGCCCGACTCGTCGGAAGAATCTGCCAACGTGTGTCACATGCAGACACCGGCCTCCCGCGGCAGTTTCTGGCTTGGCAAGGGCTCCAGCCCATGCACGAAGCAGACTTCCCTCAGCAGCGCCGCCATGCATCTGCAAAAGGGTCTCCAGGGCCCGGCCTGCAGTTGCCATGGAGCCTGCATGCGCGACTAGAGAATGGAAGAAGAGGAGGCTTGCCGGGTCTGGATCCTCTGCACCGCCAGCCCCTGCGCCACCCAGAACTTCCTGCAGCAACCTCGCGTCCGGAGCCGTGGCAATTTGTCTTCGAGCGACTCTGTCAGCGACTGCTTCGATGAGCAGGTGATGGCGTGCTGCCCGTCGCACGCAGGCGAAGATATTGCCCTCTTGGTGTTGCTTCAGCCTCTCCCTCTGCAGCTCTTCCAGGGCATCCGCCTTGTCAAGTTCCAGGAGTTTACGGCCCACATCGGTGCGGAAAGCTGCGTAGAGCAAGAAGGGCAGCGAGCTTGACGAGTCCCCTTCAGCCGGGCCCGTCCACTCCAGCCAGACTGTCAGTGGCTGAATGGCGCACGGATGGCCCAGATCCACTCTCCGAGAGAACTCTCGACTCAGCAGTTGCAACATCTCGGACTTCTTGCTCGGGTGTGCATCGATGGTTTCAAGTACTTGCTGAATAGCAGAGGCAGCCAGTGCAGGGGTGATGAGCGCATAACACTTAGCAAAGATGCCCCGGCTGTCAGCGATGTCCAAAGTCAGATCAAGGCAGTCGTGAAAGAGATTCACCACTTGGCCTTGGCCTTGGGACCGTCGGATTGGCCAGAACATACCATCCAGGACTTGCTGGAGAGCAAACCTTGCAGTCTCCAGATCGAGCTGGTCCGCACCACACAGCTGCTCAGCCAGGATAGCCAGGCATTTTCGTCGGAGTACTCTTTCATCGCCCCCTTCTGACAGGAGCCTCTGCAACAGATCCAAGCCCTGACTCTCCATGAAGCAGGGGACAAGGTTGCCGAAGAAAGCCAAATGATTCAGCCTCAGCTGCAAATGGGCTTTGACAAACATCCCCGCCACTCGCAGACTAGTTGTGCATCAGAATGCTGCAGAATGGCTTTCCCATCTGGGTCACCGAGAGCTTCAGCCGCCCGCTCAGCGTGGCGCGGGCCATCTCGAAGGAGTGGTGCCACTTGTCCAGGCGCTCTCGGCGCTGAAACGTAGTGGACATGGCCACATGAAGCTGCTTCCTGAGATCATGACAGCACTTCACGTCGCTTCCTGTGCTACGCTTGAGAGACTGCTCTTCGAACTGCAAGCCCAGGGTCTCCAAGATGTCCAGGACGGTTGTCGCTAATCCAGGCCCGAAGAGGACCTACGAACATTGTCGCACCAACATCTGGTTCTGAAGTAGCATCTGCATGTGACTGCATTCAAGGATTGTCAATAGAACCGCCGAGGCAAAGCCCATCGCCGCGTGCCTGCGCGCCAGCGCCAGTGCTCTGCTGCCTCCGCAGCTGCTCCTGCACCTCCTGCGGGACCCCATCCTGGAAGAGGAAGCTCAAGGCTCCCAAGTCTGAGCGGTGGCACCTAAAGCAAAGCCGAAGGCTCCGGGGCGATGCCGTGCAGGATTTAGGTTTCGGATGCACCCACCCCAAAACCAAAGACACCAGAGTTTCAGGTCTCTGCAGATGTTGCCGCCAAGATGCCAAGCGCAGGCATGAAGGCCTGACGCCCAGGGGTACACAAGCTCAAGAAACTGGTATGCGATGCAATGACCCAAGCATAGAATCCGGCCGTTTGTTCAGAGGTATCAACATGAAGGCTCGTGAACGAGTGAGATATAATGAGATCGGTGTAGAACAGTGCTGTTCTATGCTTCTGCGTCTGAAACCGCCTTTCCCCCGTGAAAGCATTGAGTCGCACCGTACTATTTCCAATCTCACCCAGTAACGGAAAGAATCAAATCCCGAGCCGTTTTTAACAACGAATTACCAATGAAGCCATTTCTCTGTCCCATCTCCTCTCGTCTCCCAGGATGTTCCAAAGTGCAAGCAATTACTGTATTGGCTGCCAAACTTTGGACATAGGGGACGTCGCCTGGGAGCTGCGCTGCAGAGTTGTAGGGTTCAGCCCAAGCCCGGAGCAGCGTCGCCGCCACGTGGCCGAAGCCGAAGCGCGCGGCCACGTAGCCGGAATAGGCCGGCAGAAGGCCTCCGAGGTGGAGGAGCCGTTTGTAGTAGAACTGACTGGCCAAACCCGAAGCTTCCAGTATAACTGAGGCCCTTCCCCCCATAAGGCATGCGACCGTCCTGGCCTGAGTTTGCGATCAGCTCGGCAAGTTGGGAGTAAGGATGTCTCATCCACGCCGATGTCGTGATCGCCACCAGGTCCTGCTCCTCGCAATCCTCGAAGAATCCTTCTGCAGATGTCTCGTCATGACGAGAGCTGCTGCGGCTGTCCAGCAAGCACCTCGAAGCTTCGTCATGCCAAGGACTTCTCTGAGAGTACGCGTGGAAGCTTTGAGGCTTCAGCTTGCTTCAGCACTGGCACTGGAGGGCAGCCAAGTTGCTCTTGCAGCTTTCGGAAGAGGAGCGGGAAGCACGGAAGCATCTGGTCATGTGGAGCTGGCATCAGTGCCGTATCCGGGACGATGTAGCCCTCCGCTGCCTTGGCTAGGGGTCGCAGAGGCTTCCCGAAGGAGGCCCGGAGGACAAGTCGAAAAAAAAACAGGCTGCACGCACCAAGGTGCGCGGAGCTTCACGTAGCGGGCCATGGCCAAAGGTGCCTCTCCCGGGGAACCGAGCTGCAAGCTCAGCAGGCCACCTGCAAAGGCACGGGAGTCGTGGCGGCAGAATCCCGGACCAAGCAAGTGAGTCCATGCCTTGATCACTGATCCAGTGGAGGGCCGCAGTCAATGCCGAGATCACCCTCTCAGTGCACCTGTTTCCTGAAAGACAACAGGGAGAGGGCGGAGGGCGAGCTCACAGATCCGTCTCTGGCAATTTGCAGCCCAGCTTCGGACGGTTGTCTGCAAGCAAAGCATCGGCCGCCTGGCAGAGAAAACCGAGCCAGGATTCTATCAGAACCCTATGCGTAGCTCCGCCACCAATATGACCGTTTTTGCTCGACTTCGCTACAGAAATACCAGGGCACCACGGAAGGTTTGGAACTGCACATGCGAGCAGCCGACTCACAAGCTCATGCCCGACCTCTGCCGCACATCCATCTCCATGATCTCCATAGCAGCTGCAATTGCTTCCTTCAGTTGTTGGCACATTAGAACTGGGAATGAAGAAAGCAGCTTCCCAGTGCAAGTCCGATCGTAAACTGGCCCTGGTCAAAACTTGTCCAAGTGCCACACCTGGCGAAGCGACACATCCTTCAGGGCTGCAGAACGGATCCTCTGCAACTCCTCCAGCAGGAAGACGGCGCTTGGCTCCTTGGGTGAGCGACTGCGGATGCGTCTCGCAGCATCGAAGAACAAGAAGAGCTCGCAGGCTTTACCTTCATCTGTGGGCATGTGCTTCTGCCAAGCCACTGAGAGCAGCTGCCAAAGCAGGTCCACCCGTGTTTGCAAAGCGGCTCCAGAGTAGAAGCCTTTGGCCGCATGCATCCAGGCTTCCGCCGACTTCCGCATTCCTTCGGAGACTGACAAACGGGCCACGGATGCCCAAAGGTCCTTCTGCAGCTCGTCTTCGCTCACCACATGATTTTCCGCGTCTGGGAGGCTGGGTGATAGGATGGATGCAACCAGCGCAGGAGATTCCGCATCGTCCAAACAGTCCAAATGAAAGATCTGCCAACTACCGAGGAAGGCAGCTTCGTAGCATCGACTTTCATGCAAGCTTTTCGGAGGCAACAGGATTGTCACTATGAGGCGATGTACATCGTGCTCGTCTGCCAGGCGGCGCAACTGATGTACGGCCCGCGATGTGCACTGGACGTCGGCGCCCTTTGACAGGCTGCTGGACAATCGGCAGACTACCATGAGCGGTCTCTGCACCTGTTTCCTTGTCCGCAACAGTTCGACGGTCTCCTGTCTAGTGCGAGGCATAAGGTGGACATCCACATCATCCCTTCTGATCTGTGTTGTAGGGCACTCCCCGGAAGCAAGGAGCACGTCACGGGTAAGGATCAGGTAGCGCTTCTGGGGAGAAGATCGGAGCTCCGCAATCACTGAGGCCAGGCCTGTGTGGGGCTTCTGCACGTAGCCTGTCCACAACAGGGCAGGAACCATCTCTTCCAGTGCAGCCCTAGTGTAAGTATGCGACAAGAGAAAGCCGTGCCTGTGGTAAGGCTCTCCGGCAAGGACTTCCGATGACTCAACACAGTCTCGGAGGGCGCCAGCTGGAGAACGTGGCCCGCTGCTTCCTCGGCGATGGTGGCCACTGCCTCCTGGAGGCGATCGTCCAAGCGTTTTCCTGGGCTTCATGGGCAAGCGAGCGAGCGAGGGAATGACTGAGTGCCTGCGTAAGTGCGTGCATGAGTGGGGAGTGGAGTGAATGGCGTGGTGTAGAGCGGAGTGAAGTAGCGGAGTGAGTACAGGCGGGCGAGATGGGGGCGTGGATGGGTGGGGTGAGTCTCTGAAGGATACACAAGGGATACAGGCCAAGCCGCGAAGTTGCGGTTTGCCAAGCATGTCTGCGGGAAACGTTCCCTTGTAGCCAACCAGCCTCGGGGCAAAGGGCAAATTCTCCCTCGCTGCAGTGACAGGCAACTACTTGTACCACATCAAGACTTTTGGACGCGGGCATGCAGGCTTCGAGGTGTTTACCCATCCGGCCTGTAGACCAGCAGATAAGCCTTCCCAGCTTTGTGCTTGGCATCAGCAGCGCTTAGTTGATAGGACCGATCGTTGTCCACGGCCTCCCAGCCATATCTGCCTTTGAAGTAGGCGATGTAATGCCCATTGTCCAAACTGCCGGTGTGAACGATGAAAGACACAAGGTCGTAGAGCCAATGCTCCATGTGAGACAGCAGCAAGGAGTCCTGTGATGGAGGCAACAAGGGCAATGTCAATCCGTTCATGGGCACCGTAAGGATGTCGTCGTTCTTCTGCATGCTTTCCGCATCCCAGCGCCCGAAGCAGAATGGTAAGACGCACGGCGGAAGCTGACCGGGCAAGCGTCGCCTGGCCCGCACAGCGGTTGGCAGCTCAAGTTCCTTCATACCGCCTTCTTCGCCCAACTCTACTTTGCAAGCGGTGACGGTTTCCATGACAATATCTTGCAGCAAAGTCGGGAAGTCCTTGTCGGAACCCATAGCCGTCCGCAAGATATACTCGTTCAGATCGTTAGACACGTAGACCTTGCTGGAAGGATCGTCTAGGCCGGCGCAATCAGCCTCCCTGGCGCAAGTCATGGTGGGCAGAGCCAGCTTGGGGCTCTGGCACTTATCCAAAAGCGCCTCGAACATCTCCACTGCATCATCTTGTTCCCCTGGTTGCATAATGCCTTCACGCTCGAGTTTTTGTGCCAAAGACCAGATGTCCTCTCGCGGCACTTGCTGTCGCCTCGACTTCTTCAGGATATGCCGCAGGTCGCTGAGGAAGAAGGGCTCCGCCTCACGCTCCTCCGGGAGCAGATGTGCCTCGTGCATGCAAAGGATGACAAGGCACGCTTGCAGAAAGCAGGTGTTCCCCGGATTCTCGTGCCCTTTGCAAGCTGCTGGATCGGATGGTTCGGTCTCGATGGCATTCGGCTTGAGATCCCCGGGCCACTCCTCAGAAAGGGGCTTGCTCTTCTTCTCGGCCTTCGCCGACTCGTCGGAAAGGCCCTCTTCCCAACCTGCGGTGAGCAGCTGTAGGGCCGTCTGGCATCGGCTCGCCTGCATGGCTTCGTTGATGGCGGAGTCCATGCTGGTCGCATCGAATCCGATGAGACTCGCCGGGCCAAGCAGCTGAACCAAGGCCTGAAGCCGCTGGCGTACAGGCTGCAGCAAGTAATCTCGAATGAACTGCAGGTTGAGCTGATGATGGCACAGGATGTCGGCGTTGTGCATGGCCAAATCTGCTGGACCCAGGTAGAACTTCTCAAAGCGATTGAGAAAGGGCAACGGGGTTTGTGCCAGATCTGAGGCCCTGATGCAAACCACGAGCTGGAAGCGTGGATCCACGGGAGCCAGGACCGAGTAGCTTCCAGCGGCCACCGTCGCTGCAAAGCTTACGCGGCCGTTCGCTTGGATGCGCTGAAAGCGGAGATTCAGAAGATCGTAGAACCCATCCAGGATCTCGTCGAAGTCCACCATCACGCACAGGCCCGGGTGTTCCGCAGCCCTGCGGATTTCGCTCACGATTTGGCTGCGATGCAGATCGCTCTTGTCACCTGGCAAGTTGCTCACCTCCAGAACTTTGACCTGTGGTGGCAGAAGCCCCGCCAACTGCAGAATGCGCACGGCCCCACCATCTTCCGTCTCATCGATGATCAACTTGTAGCGGCAGGGCTCGTAGTTCGCATCCTGCAAGTCTGCTGCGGGGATGTCGAGCAAGGCCTCCTGCAAGACCGCCAGCGTGGACCTAAGCCCGGCTTCCTCCAGCTCTGAGATCCGACCCCCGGTCTCTTCTCGGAGGTGTCCAAAGAAGACCTTGCACAGCTCCACGAAGTCCTCCTTCTTCAGTCCTCCAAAGTTCCGCTCCAGAGCAGAGAGGACACTCGATCCTGACACAGAGCCGTTCCGAACGAGACCACCCCGGCGCAAATAGCGCAGGCAATGGTGGAAGTCTCGCAGATGGAAGATTCCAAAGGCATTCTTGCTCTTCGTCCACCGGCCGGCAGAGATTTCCTGGAAGGCCTCAATTGCATGACATGGCAGGGACTGCTGTGATGCGCACGAAGCCGAACAGCATATCGCATCTAGCCTCGTACACAACAGAGCTCTAAGCGACCCCGCCTTGCAGAAGCCATTCACCAAATTTCGCGAGGCAGGGTCCTCACGACTGACCCCCAAGCATTCGGCCGCCAGAAGCCGCAAATCCTCGCCGTCGGCTTCATCACGGAATACCTGCTACAAACACATTGCAAGTCGCAACTGGCACAGCGGATCACAGCGGCAGAGCGATGCGGTGCCACCGATGGGTCTTACAACCGAAGAACTCCTGGGCCTGCAGGCATCGGTTACGCTTTGCGGCATCCAGTGGCTTGTTGGCCAGAATGCAGCAGGCAACGGCTCCTGAGTGAGGGCTTGTAGAATAAGTTGAGCCGCATGCGGATTTACAGCCATCCAGGAAGTAACGAACTGTCACTCAAGAGCAATGCAGCATGGCTCCTTGATCGATCCAGTAATGGAGGGCTTTGAGGCTCTCGACCTTCTCTTCCGGCAAGCCAGCCTGACTGCCGCACATTAAAGCATTAGTCCGCTTCGAAGCGACTCCTGCTACTTCGGCTAGTGCTTCCTACAGGTAGTAGTGCCTATTGTATAATCTGCTTGGCCTCATCAACAAACACCACCGGGTGTCGTTCCCCCTCCTGCAGCGAGCGCACCGGAAAGTCACACAAGTGCAATTTGATTGCCCAGGCATGCAAGAGCCGGCAAGAGGTCGTCCTCCGCTTCTATGCGTTGCTTGGCCCTCACTGCACTTTCGAACACCTGCAGCATCTTTACTGCATAGCGGTCAGTCGCTCCGATGCTCAACTTGCTTCAGTGACTTGCACGAGTAAACCCCCCAGCAATCGGCCTCGTGAATCTGAGTGCTTGTGCTGTCTTTGGAGCATTGGTAGCGAAACACGGAGTTTGCCACGTCACAGAAGCAGCGGAAGAAGGGCACGGCACCCGAGCCCCTCAACACGTCCGTGGCGATATTCACGGCAAGTGTCTTGCCCGTTCCTGGCATGCCCACGATCATCACTGGGATGTTGCACTGGATGCCCACAATCACGGCGAAGATGTTTTCCTTCAAAGCACGAGTCAGCGCAATGCCTGCCGGAAGTTGGATGTGCTTCATGTAAGTGTCCATCTCTTCGGCGAGGACTGTGGGCAGATCCAGACTGTGAGAAGTCTCCTCCGCAAAGATTTCGGCATAGTGCCTCTCTGTCACCCTCTCCGTGAAGAGCTCCCGCTGCGAACTGTTGAGCCCCAAGTAGAAAGACACTCCCAGGGCCAGAAGCAGAGCACGCGCCGCACAGCAGCGTTCGTTCGCGTCGGGCTGGGCAAAGCTGTGCTGCCGGAAGAAGCCCAGCAAGCGCACCACACGGATGATGTCGCGCTGTGACACCGCCGACTCTGACCCCAACTCTGCTCTCATGAAGTTCTGAGCTGCAGCAATGGCCCGTGCGAATCGAAACAAATCTGGATCCTTAGTAAAGTAGACAATCAGAGCAGTCACAACTACTTCGAAGCCTGCACAATGTGCGCCTCGGCTTCCTAGCAGTTTCTGCTGCTTGCTCGTGCTACACCCTGAGGCTTACGAAAGGTTGGTGCTGGGATTCTCTGCAAACCCATTGCGATTTGCGAACAATCACCAGCTTCCTCCAAGGCTCGTCTTCTGCAATGGCGGCTCGGCGACGAAGCAGAAGCAGGGCGTATCTTTCCTCGTCATCCGCACTGGGCGACTTCCAATGCCAGATGTATGGTCGGAAAGAGGGCGGCAAAGGATGCACCTATCACATCCAGAATCTTGCTCCAAAGACAGCTTGAATGCACGACTAAAAAAAATACTGACAGCGTTCGGGAGGACACATTTTTGCGCTTGCACCTGGAAGAAGTCGCGCATGACCGTAGTGCTCCCTCGTAGGACTAGATCTTCGTTGCTGGCTTCTTCTCGATAGGGGTTCGAAGCCGCGATGATGAAGAGGTTCTCGAAGTCTGCCACTAGGAACTTGTCGCACAGGATGGCCTTCACGAAACCCAAGCACGACCTTGAATTGCATCACAAATTGCATCTGACTCTGGCTCGACAGAGATGTTACTGTAATCTGCTCGCACGGGCGCAAGTCCTGGCACTTATCTGCGGCCTGAGGGACGCTGTGTTCACCTCATCTAGGAAGATGATCACAGTCATGTCTGGCTCACGCCTGCACGCAGCAAATGCCGGCCGCAGCTGAGCCTGGGCAGTGCAGCGAAGTTGGAAAGAGGACTTGATGGCTGCTGTCCGCACTCGCCTCGATGTCCTTTGCCGTCAGAGCCGCGTGGACCTCCATGACAGTCACAGGGAAAGCTCTTGCAGATCGTCCAGACGAACACTGCCCAGGCCCAGGTATCTGGCATCTATGGACCCATGTCCAGAAAGCCGCATGGGCTACTTCTGCTCGGTGCCTTTAACCTCTTCAACCAACCGGGCGTTGGAAGTGTGAGATTGTCAGGAAGATATCTCCGCAGAGAAACTCAGTGCTCAGGGACTCCTAATGCCAAATTCGCAACCTGAATCGCGCCTGCACCCGGAAGAAAACCGGCTCGACTGGCAGGAGGGTCACCGCGCGCAGGGCAAAAAGCAGGCCTGGGCATGCAAGGAACGAATGCTTGGACCAGCAGCCTGAATGCTTTGAGTCCAAAACGTGGTACGGCCTGCTGCCTTTCTATGCGCATCTCAACAACTTGCCGTGCAAAGGTAGAAGTAGGGGACATGGATACACGAACATACTGACTGTTATGCCGCTCTAACATTAGACCTGTCACTTCCCAGCTCAGATCCACATATCATGAAGCTGATCTGGTGGTGTACTGGTGTACCAAGTGTACCAGTCTACTAGAGTGCTAGTGAACGGCACTAGTTTTGCTCATATCAACTCCAAAGGAATCTTTGCACCTACGTTTCAAGCTGGAGGGTCCTGGTGTTCCAAGCTCCCTGGGGGCTAAGCAGAAATTGAGGCGCTAAAGTGCAGACCCACACATGGCCAACAAGATACAATTGCTTGGAACCACGGCACGCTACGGTGTGACTTCAAGCAAAAGCACTCCCCCACCTCGCATGAAACGACTCAAAACCGCTTGGTTGACGGATGCTTCAGTTCGAAAAAGAGCCCACTCCCACTGAAGTTCTGACACTCCCGAGTATAGATCCTACTTCATCTGATGCTGCCAACCGGCTCGCCGTGCTCACGTCTTCGGTTCCCTGCTCCAGGTCCGCTGCATCGTCGGCCGTCGGCTCGGCATCTGGGCAGTTGGTTCGGTCCCAGCAAGCAAGTCAACTGCGGACTCTACGTAACCTACCCACCTACGTACCTATCTACCTACCTGCCTGAATAGTTGAATACCACTGTACCTATGTGCTGATCTTTCTCTCGCTCTCTCGCTCTCCGCTCTCGCTCTCGC